CCTTGGTATTTGGATATTTAGGAGCTCATTCTAAATCAGTATCAAAATGGTTGTTTATTGAAGAAAAATACCAGGACAGGACGTAATTAGCCCGCGGGTTGAGGATCATAAAGACAAGAGTTGTCAATGTATCAATATTGACAAAGTGCAACGAAGGGGGAGGGGTCGAGTTGTTCTTACGTATATTACAATGCCCCCATGCAACGGGACATGTATCTTACCATCCTTCTCTCTCCCCCTATGTCTCTCTCTCTCTCTCTCTCTCTCTCTCTCTCTCTCTATGTCTGTCTCTCTGTCTCTCTGTCTCTCTTTCTCTCTCTCTCTCATCATCTAATCCGACATTTAACTGGAAATGCGATCGGTCTAACATTTTCAATTCATTAATTGGGGGAAGAAAGTCACTTCACCCTAAGGCCAGACTCTTTCCCACACATACAATGTGTATGTATATTTTATCCAACATTTCGTATATTCCTTTTCTTTCTATTCTTTCTTTATTTCTATTAAAATGTCAGGATTGAAGGCACAAGCAGTTAAAAAAAATTGGGGTGGGGGGTTTTGAGGCTTGGAAAATCATGCGTTCACGTTTTACGAGTACCTGTATAACCTTCTATTCATTACAATTAATTTCGACGTCTTTTCAAAGAATTCATCATATAATATGACACTTTTAGTATATTTCATATTATGTTCAATTTTTTTCAATCATGTGAATTCTTTTTTTGTGAAATGTGAAAAAAATAAACTTGAAACTTGAAACTTGAAACTTGAAGGAGTACCTCGTCATATGTTATTTACATTCATGTATTTATTTATTTTTTATTTACTTTTTTTAATTTTTAGTGAAAGTCTTCTTTTGAAGGAGGAAGCTTAAGCTCCCCAAGCCCCCCCCCCCCCCCTCTAAAAGTTCCACTGCCTGCAAGCACAGTTAAAAGTCAGCTTAATACCGGAGCCGTCAGCTATCATATTTCAGAAAAGCTGATTGCTGTGGACTCTCATATGCATAATATGCCACAAATGATCCTTGGGAGCCATTCCTCTGAATGTGAACCAACATGTAAAACGATGAATACTCACGAGGGAATGTAACGTGAATCGACTGTGATGGAGCAGAAAATCAGGTTTTCTCCACAAAATAATCTTGAGCTGCGGGGTACTCCATTTTATGCACCACCATAAATTCAGTGTGGCATAAAGACATATGGTCGGTGAGTTTGGTAGACTCCGATGCCAAGAAAATCTGCATCTCAGTGAGGACTATGAATCATAGTTAATCATCACAAACTGTAGGAGCAATGAGAGAGGCAAAAGGGGTGCATAGGAGGGGTGCAGACGAAGAAGGGGGTGGAGATGATGGCAATCCTATCTTCAGTCATCAGATGAAGATATAATGGATAAGTCACCGGACTGTGGATTAACAAGGCACTGTGTTTGAATCACGTATACATCACCAACTTCTTTTTGACAATGTGTTTATCTACAATTGCCACTCTTCACCCAAGTAAAGTACCTAGCAGGAAATAATTCCTTGATCGCCCAAGTGAATATACGGGAGCGCCATGAGTGCCAAGTCTGACATATTCCATATGTAAACACTCAAGGCTTGTTCAGGTTTGGCAAGGTAAACCGCCAATTTTGTGTTGATATGTTACGGTTTTGTTTTAAGAGTAAAATGCGCGTACTTACTGTGCTCTGTTTTATACGATACATAAATGTGAATCGTATTATACGTCATCATTAAGAGCCCACTAGTATTATTATTCTTCAATTAATTTAGACATGTTGTCGGCATATATAACAGCCTTTTGTAAACACATGTAACACTCTCTCAACAAAAGTAATTCAAATTACTTAGAGCATTCCCTTTGAATGCGCATACCCGATTCGTTCACGCCTAACCCCTCTCCACCCCACACCCCTTTCCATCCCACCCCTCTCCCTTTAGGATAGTTGACCTCTCTACAAAAACCTTGTCGATCTTCAATGGAGAAAATATCTCTGTCAGACAATCGCTGGCCAGTTTGCAAAATGCAATCAGTCAAAAATCAAAAGTGAAATCTAAACACATGTGAATTGACGACCTTTCAACAAAATTCTCGTTCAATAATGACTTGATAATCTTCAAGTAAAGTGCTCTTCTAAAGAGCATCAGTGGCGGTTATTGGGGGGGGGGGGGGGGCTCAAGGCACCCTACAATTTATTAAAGCTTCCATCTCTTGTCTTTATTATAAAATAAATTAAGCGAGGATCATGCCAAATTAGAACGAATCCCCCACCCCTTTAAAGCCCCGTCCCATCCCACCCCTTCAAAAATACAAAGAAACAGATAGATGAGTCAAAAACATTTATCTGTCATTTTTCTACATAATGAACGAAGGGCTGAGAATGCATTGAGTACACATTGTTTGGAGGAAAGAGAGAGAGAGAGAAAGAAAGATAGAGAGGAAGAGAGGGAGAGATGGGAAGAAGAAAGGGAAAGAGATGGAAGAGAGAGAAAGGAAGGGAGAGAGAGAAAGAGAGAAAGGAAGATAAATGGTAAAGGTTACATTAATTTTATTTTTATTTTATTTTTATTTTCATAACAATTGCATAATATGAAGTTTGGGATTATGTTTTACAAAAAAATTATGAATCTTGCTAAAATGTACAAATTAATGCCACTGTGCGCATAAAGGGCATGCACAATATGGCGTCAGAAATGTTAAACTCTTTGCAAGACATGAGGAATCTGAGAGCATATCCTGAGCCGTCCTTGTCACCAAAAAACACCACCGTGATATTCTTTCTTATAGCAAGGTGTTACCATGGTTACGAGGCGAGCAACTCCTTGCTGATCAATTCATAGCATGAGAAGCCATTAAAGTATGAATTCTGGTAAAATTGGAAATCATGTTTTCTCATTATTTGCATGTATGTTTGTAAAGTAGGTCGTAGAAATAGTAGAAAGTAGCTAAAATTCTCTCTGAAAAAGGATTGCTCTTTCCCCTCTTTTTCTTCTTCCAGATTCCCCTGGTCTATCTTCTTATCGTCCAAAGAGACATAATCATTATTTGTGTCAAATGTGTTTTCTCTCCCACTCCATTTTATTGATCTCATTTTTTCCACTGGAGTTGATGACATTATCGGAGCGCATTATTAAAAAAGAGCCTTTGGAATATCGTCGGTTGAATCATTGGGAGTAGGGGGAAGCTTCTGTAATAAATCTAGTTACAAAAACGGCAGGGGCCAGGGTGTACGAAAGTGTAGGAGGTGTAGGGTGATGTTCTCCAAAAATTGTATAGTCCCCCTCTCCTCTCTATCACTTCCCTACACTTCTGCCATTTTTCCGTGGCGGCTCACACACTATGTGGCCCCCATTTGTTTTCTCCAATTCATTCCAATTAGTGCCCTATGGGCGTAAATCTGTAATTGATACCAATTGTTCAGGGGGGGGGGGTGATCTATTCATTCACCCCCCCCCCCCCTGAACAATAGGTATTACGTAAGGATTGACGCCCATGCCTATTATATTGTATGTACCCCGTCCCTTGTATCCTGTAGCTAGGCCCCTGACAAGAGCTTATGGTAATCCGGTTGAACATTAGCTTTTTCTCCCAGTTATTAATCGTCCTACACCTTGTAATCCTCTTTGTTGTCACCATGGATACGTTTACACAATATGACGCCTATCCATGCGTCCATGCGTGAACTACAAATGCCCCCTAAATGAAAACGGGCCGGTCGATTTTAGAGATAGAGCTCGTAATCAAGACAGATACATGTACTGTACATCGTAACAAAGATCTACAGATTGGGGGTTCTAGGTGTTATAGCGACCTTGCACCCACCCCCTCCCCTCCCCCTCCCCCCCCCCCCCCCCGTCAATCTTATTTAAACTTATAATTATTTTATTTTATATAGGAACCCTTAAAAATAGGAAGACATATTTGTGTTTATTTATTTATTACAGCTCAGTAATTTGTTATCATATATTTTGTTGCAGTATGTTTCCAACCTTTTTTAAATTCATATACTTTTATTCAAATTCCCTTCCCTTTTTTGTTTAATTCCTCTCTTTATCATTAGCTCTTCTTCTCTTTCGTTATTCAAGGTCGACTTCGAAAACGGAATCGATACGATTCAATGATTGAATTGATCAATGCTAACAGGCATGTATATAGCTGTACAATACACGCCTGTATAAGGCACGAAGGGTGTCAACGATCGAGGTTCATGTTATCACCTCATATCTTAGCTTGTGTTAAAAAGTATACATGTTATAATGCATGCTCTGCATTATTGATGTCGATATTCATTCAGCGAAGAAATTACTCATTCAAACAAAAATTACTAAAATAAATTATCAATATAAAAGTGTTGATACATGATAGAGCCAGAAGTAAGTTCTTTCTTCTTCTTCAATTATATGGTTTTAATAATTACTGCAGCCATATAACGTTGGTCAAAAAATAAATGTTATAATCTCCCATATTTCTGCTCTAATTTAGCTGAAATGTTTCAGACAGGAAGACGCATGCTTTGTGATTAAAAGAGAACTCTAGACATTCCTAATAATTCCAATAAACAAGGGCAGCGAACATGATGCTGTAACAATAATGATAATATGTTTTTATATAGTGCCTAACACTTACTTTATCAGAAGTCTCTAAGCGCTCTACAATAATGCGGCACAATTACCCTGGCTTTAGCAAGGTAGCTCCCACGCGGTCTGCGTAAGTTCAGGAATAAATTCCTGCCAGGTCCCTATTTACTTCACCTGGATGGAGTGCAGCACAATGTGGATGAATTTCTTGCTGAAGGAAATCAACGTCCTGGAGTGGGACTCGAACAATTCTAAATACTTAACCATACAGAGAGTCATGTCAGGAAATTCACGCATAATAGGCCTACACCATATTATCAGAGAAGTATTGTATATTCAAGTATCATATATTTCTCTTTAAATGCAATGGGTTTTTTTTATCAAAATGGGGATAAAACTACTTGTAAGTTGTACTCACATGTAACTTTGCTTCTGCACAATGTGAAGGATTCCAAAGGGCACAACTAATCTACACGTTGTTCCGTGTATGCAGAAAGTCCATAACATATCCTACATCCCACCACTCTTTAGAAGAAGTAACTACCACTCTTTGTACTCGTGAGCCCCTTTGTAGTATAATAACTCCTCCTAATCGAACTAAAAATATAATGCTACTCGTTCATGTGGCTCTGCCTTTATTGCATTTCGATTAAAAGAAAGGTAAACGGCTCAGCGCACATGAATACCATTGTACCCGAATCTCGGAAGGTAATGTAAAATAGGAATTTAATAGACACGGATGAGGGGGTCGGGAGGGGAGGGGGTGGTACGATTATTGGTTGAGCTATAGGGAAATGGGAGCGTTATATCTTCAAGTAATGAATGTTTAGAGCGCTGTAGGCAAACAGCCAAAGTTTTCAGTTTTACTTATACATTTTTTTAAATGATGCTTCTTTGAAAACTTTCGAAGTGTTTTCTAGCAATTCACGTGTATGAAACAATTTAACCAGCCCGGTAAACTGTACAAATAAACAATTGACACCTCCTTAATAGGGGGTTAAGACAAAGTATACTGGTTCTCTTGGCAAAAGAACACAATTCAGCGCTTTTAAGCTATCGATGATGCATTTCCAAAAAGTAGCCGTTTTCTCATTTCATCCCGATTATTTTAACAGCAGTTGGAAGTGCAGTTGTTCGTTTGGCATTGTTGTTTTTTCCTTCAAAAGTGAGGCTGAGAAAATAATGAGTAATCTGCTGAAAACTGAACATTTTGAGCATTCGAAAAATAAACAAAAAGAAAATGACGTTCAAGAGAGAGAATTTGAAATTACTCTTTTAGAATGTCTGTGAGATTAATAACAAATCCTAAAGCAGCTTTTGCACTAACAATTCGTCTTTTAATGTGGAAAAGTAAAGAGTTAACGCCTGGTAAAATGTGTTTCTATAACAATTGAATCGCAATAAAGTACAACCAGACAAATGTTCTTGCTTGTCAAACAGGGGACGCAGGTGTATTTACTCCAGACCTCCGAATTGATCTCTCTTATTTTAATGACTTTTGACAGTTTAGTGGACTCATGGTCGATTTGTGTCCTGCATGTTCAATCCTAATAAAGAAATGCTTCTAGAGGGGAGGGGGGCTTGGGGATCACATCCCCAGAAAGAGCCTTGATTATAAGTAGGAAATGAATGCAAGAACCCCCAAGCCTCCATATCCCCACCCCCCCCCCGAAATATATATATATATATAAGATAATATTGATAATATTATATAGGCCTATAATTATAATAATAATATAATAATAATATTCAATGTTCATATAGCGCTTAATACAACTGTCTCTAAGCGCTTACAAATATACTATTACCCCGGTCACTGGATTCAGTGCTTTCCCGCACACACTGTGTGCACAATCTCCACTCCCTGGGGAGCATTCCAGCCGGGCGTTACTTGACGCTCACAAGCTGTTTGACCAACAATGACGGCCGCATCCTACTGGGTACCCATTTGACACCTGGGTGGAGAGTAGCAAGTGCAGGTTAATATATTGCCAAAGGATTATTAGTGCCGTGTCGGGATTCTGAACCCTCGACCTTCTCATCTCCAGTCAAGCGCCTTAAACCACTCGACCACGACACTTCCAAACAAAATATTATCATAAATAACAATAATTTTAAAAATCGCTTAGTTCTAGAACCGCTCCTTTTCATATATATAATTATGTGAGCTGTTTCACCGAAAGCAATATCTATAAAATCGGTCTAATATGACCGCTATTGACAACACTTCATTACTGCAATCTTGTTTTCATAAAAGGGTACTGACCAATTGCAGTATCCAACTGCTGATTAATGAATAAATCTATATTCCTTTCGCTACATAAATAACGCAATTGCAAAAATACTATTTGTAAAACACCTAGAGAATGTTTTTCATTTCGAGCGTTATCCGGGTTCATGATTTATTAACGAAATTAACACCGGCAGGGCATCCACCTTTCCTTTGATATGGTGACAATGAGTAGTATTTGACAGTATAACAATGACTATTCAGCTCGATTTCTATATTGCATTGGTGTTTATTATCATTGTCATTTGAATATGGCTCATTTCTCAAAACATTAGCGATAACATCTCCAGTGTAAATACGGTTATGATAACATTCGCATTGCAGAAAAGTACAAGTAACTTTAAAGCAATACAAAAAATATGAATATTTAATTTTTCGAAATACTGATTTTTATAAATGGATTCTTAATTCAGTGTCATACAAACATTTGTATTTGAGGATACTCATACAAATGTTTGTATGACACTGAATTAAAAATCCATTTATAAAAATCAGTATTTCGAAAAAATATGAATATTTAATTTTTCGAAATACTGATTTGTATAAATGGATTTTTAATTCAGTGTCATACAAACATTTGTATGAGTATCCTCAGTTATTTTGTGAGAACTTATCACTTGGACTATTGGACATCAATCCAAATAGGCCTTTTACAACTTTCGATCGACTTGAATAGAATCCAGCAAAGCGTTTTTATTTGTTTTTAATTATTTTTAGGGAGAGGGGCTATGATAATTTAATTGGTATTGTTTGGAACAGCAAAGAAACCAATTTGTGTGTGATTGTGCGCGTGTGTGTGCGTTTGTGTTTCCTATTTAATAATGCACATGTTCCCTTTACTCACTCTTAACATTTATCTGTATTCCTACATTTTCCATGATTCTCGAGCAGTTAGCATGTTTAGTAGATCCATGCAAAATATAATGGCTTTAAAAAAAAACTCTATTCGCAAATTGCTGATTTCGATATCAGTGTTCCACCAAACCCATGCATTAGGTTTTTGTGTATTAGGGGCGGATCAAGTCATCAAGAGACGCTCAGACCAAAAGGGGGTTTCCTCAAATTGAGGAGACACTTTTCATAACGCTGTCCCCACCTGTGTTACCCCTGGAACCGCCAAAGAGAGCAATCAATAGCAAACTGCTTTTCCGTTGAGTACCTGGTGACAGCACTTAACCATCTTTTACCCCTTCAGACTTCTAAGCTAATGGCAAACTGCGTTGGGGCAGAGAGCATCGACTGTTTACTAACAAACGTCGCTTTCTGATGGGTCTCTCGAGAGATCCAGTTTGTATACTAGGCCGCTAGCTCAAATATCGTTGTTTTTAGGAGAAAACTTGGCGATTTCTTTGTTAAAAGTGAGATGTTTATATTGAGTTCCGTGTTTGATGGGTATGCAGGTGTCAAGTCAAGCTAAACATAATTCTAGTTGAAAGAGTCTCATGTTCGGAGTCTGACCAAATAAAGAAGAAAGAGAGAAAACAAGTTATCACACCGACAAGACCGACATCAGGGGGGTGTTTCACAAAGATCCTAAGTTGAACTTATCTCTAAGTTGGACTTAAAAATTATGGAAAGCCACTAGCATCTTTGAAAATATTTTGTAAAAGTTATTTTGAAAGGCATTAATTGTTTATTCAAATCATTCATATTTTCTATCATCAAGGAGATTTCATGTTCTGGATGTGGAATTTATAAAAAGTCTAAAATACTTGAATTTCTGCTTTTGAATATATTTCATTTTAAGACTCCAATGGCTGTCCATAATTTTTAAGTCCAATTTAGAGTTAAGTTCTACTTAGGATCTTTGTGAAACACCCCCCTGGCCATGCTTGTTCATCCTTTTTACGATGAAACGTTGATGGACTATGATTTCAGATATCATTATGATGACAATTCTTACACATATTATGCTAATAAATATTATGTAATAAAGCCCCACTGCACTACTTATAGCTACTTACACCCTCTATATAGAAAACAATGCCTAATCGGTGACCGTTGGTCCCCCGTGGTCCTATTTTTCTTATGTTAATTGAGAGCTGATTTGATGAGATAACCAACTCATAGTGCCAGTGACCATGCAGGGAGGTAATCCCTCCTGGCTGGACTAGTGCAGATAGGCTTTAAGACTTCTAGATTATTGTTCTAAGAAGTGACATAATTTATGTTCATGATCTTGTTGGAGCAACGTTAAATTTAAATTACTAATAATAGTAAATAGTGGGTTCTTGTATAGCGCTCATGTCTGTCAGACTTGGCACTCATGGCTCTCCACAATAACGTTACCATGTCTTTAGCAGGACTGCTATTAATGGAGCTCTAGCATTTCAAGAAACTAATTCCAGCAAGGTACCGATTAACCTCACCTGGGTCAAGTGTAACAAATGTATAGATTACTGCCTTAATACCAAAGGACATTAGTGCCACGGCGGGACTCGAACCACGAACCATGTGATCCACAGTCTGACGACAGATCCACTAGACCACGACATTTTTATAAGAGGTGTAATTAGTTTGTCACATTTCGTGACCCCAGCAGGGTAGGAGTTAAGAGCCAACGGATATGCTATTTATGCTGCTATAATGCCTCAAAAGAGCTATAAATAATTTGTTTTAACTATTACACACGCGATATATAGGAATGAAGTTGTTATACCTACTAATTCATCATATAATGATATTTTCAAATCCTGGAGTGCATACTATACTCTTTCAGTTAATTTAGCAAATGAAACAGTAACCTAAACTGTTACTCCGCATTCAATCACCCCCATATTCACCTTTGAGCGGATAATTGCACACTTAAGCAAACATGCACTTGTAAGTACTAGTAATAACTTGATAACAAAGTCTTTGACAGTCATTGAGTTGCACTTCGTTTACCCAACGTAATGATAACAATATGGGGAAGTCTCGTATAGCGCTCATGTCTGGCATATTGTCACCCTTGGTGTTCCATTATTATGACACTTGCTTTAGCGAGGTTGGCACTGCGTACAGAGCTCAAGGATTTAAGAAATTACTTCCGGAAAGATGCCCATTTACATGTACTTCATCTGGGTGGAGTGTGCCAAATGTAGAATGTCTTGCCTATAAGTGCTAAGACAGAGATTCAAACCCCGTACTTTGTAGTTCACAGTCCGTAGACATTCTCGCTTGACCACAACATTTAATATATTCGGGCATTAAGACAGGCTATCGCACTTATCGTAAAGTGCACATTGAAACACTTGTCTGAATTCAAAGATACTTATATTGATCACGTTCATATCCGAGTGCCAAGTATGGCAATAGGCCGTTTTTGTAATGTAACCGAATTTAATATATACGTCTTTGTGAAGTACCTTTTAAGCCCGTTTTGTTCATTCACCTGTTACGGATAATTGTATTTCAAAAGTCAGATTGCGAATCGCATATATTAATTGTTGTTAGGTTGGACAAACATTGTGGCTTGTCCTACCTAACAGCACATAGTGTATGCAATTCGCATTCTGACTATCAAATTACAATTATTATTCCATTTTTTTATTCTGATGTCACCCAAACTTTCACCAGTCTGCTTCTATAATTTTTCTGCTGCCATGTAGTTGTCTATGAGGTTGGATTTTCCTTCGATACATTCAGTCAGTACATAAACATGTCGCAAAGTATGAAATTATTTGATGAGAAAATACATCACTTACCTATACTACTGATGACTGCAATATCCTCATTACTTTCTTTGAATTCAAATCTCTCCTTGATGACATATGCACCACCTCCGTTTGGCCGAAATAAACTCCAGTGTGTCTGTGATGAACACAGACTCTTCTCTCGTTTTGCTCACCAAGTCGAAAACGATTCGCTCAATTTAGAATAGATAGAGGGCGCATGGGAAGAATAAGGATCAGAGCCATTGATAACGAGAGTTTGGCCAAGCCGGTTTGAGTTGCATGGGCACAACAATTATGGAGAATATGCTGCTTTGTTGGGCAATCACAGCATAAACGCCATGTTGTGACAACAGTTTGCCAAACTCTGTGTATATATGCCTTTGGTAAGGATGAGATAGTATCAACCATCTTTGGTTTGTGTGATGTGCAGATAAGGCGGTACAGGATTTTCTGACCGGAAAGACGGGAGGAGGATTCTCTGACAATCCACAACAACAACAACAACAACAACAACAACAAGCGGAGAGGGATGATAGAGTAGTGTAGGGAGAAAGGTAAATGAAGGGAGAGACAGACACAGAGATGGAGAGACAGGCATATAGACAGACAAACAGACCAACAGGGAGAGAGAGAGAGAGAGTAAAAAAGCGAGAGAGCGGAGATTAAGAAAGAGCTAGGCTGAAAGATAAAGCAAAAAGGCACAGCAAACTCACATCTCCTTCTTCAGATGTAGAAGAAGAGCATGAAAATGTCACAAAGAGAGTAAAAATATACATAGAGGGAGGTATATCGAAAGCAACATAATACTATTTTTACACATTTAGGAGAAATAGTAAGAATAAAATCACAACCAAATAGAAAGGATTTAAAAATAATAAATTAACTTAACACCTGCTTAATTTAGGAAATCTTATCATTTTATCGGAAGTGTCATTTAAAGCATGAAACCTTCATAATCACTCAGACAGCACTATATTTTGTTTATTAAAACAACGAGTCAAAGGTATCCACACAAAAAACAAGTGTTTATGTTTAGATTTGATGGATCAAGTGCATTCTACCAACTTAGCCGGGCCTTAACAGGGCCTGCCTGCTGGGTATGTATTGCACAATGACTGGAGTTTCAGGGACCCGTTTCTCAAAGCCTTTTTTCAATGACAAATGACAAAAATCAATGACAAATCTGCTGATAACCAATCAGAAGCAAGGATTTTAGTAGCTTATAACAAAGACTGTCATTTGTCACTGATGACAAGTTTTGTGAAATGGGGCCCTGGCTTTGTGCAAAGTAAGATCAGCGGGCCCTGCGCATCAAATGTGCGCATGAATAGAATCGCCTTGGAAACGAAAAAAAAGCAATAAGAAGGCATGGCAAACAATAATGTAATCACAATTTGCATACTTCTTTCCAGAGCGATTTATTGAAAATATGATTTTACACAAAAGCAAGTACGGTAGATATAGGCAAACATGTGTGTAAAGGACAATTTAAACTCGCTCTGTGGTTCATATTTTTATGAAGCACTGTCCTCAAAAAGTATATATATATATATATATATTTATATGAAACGTACATTAAACTTGAAATTTCTGCCATATTCATGTCCAACTCTTTCCCATCAAGGTCGACTTTCGGAACATGCATTGGACCACTGTTACAGAAGTAAAACTTTTGGTCAAACGTATTGGCCCGAATTCATAAAGGAGGCTTGTCGACAAACCTAGGTTTATGTGCGTCATTATGACGCGTTTTGATGGGTTTCAAACTAAAGTTTGTCCGACGTTGTCTTCGGTCTTTTCATGAGACACATTAACATCAGTCTGTCTCTGTTATGCTTGATCAACGCTCTCCTCTTTCGATTCGGTAATGAATGTAAAGCCTCGGTCACAAATGCCATTACGAACGCCGTACGAACGATTTTCAGACCATGGAAATTCGGGTAGACCATGGAAAAACAGGGAGATTCGTACGAACGCATCCGTACGAACGCATCGTTCGTACGAACCTTTGTGACCGTAGCAATAAGTCATTTAGGTTCTACAATCGCGTTGTTCTCTTCGTCCTCCATCTTGTCTCTACCTGCTTTACTCGTCGCTGTATGATCTGAGGGTAATCCTCCACGAGGCACTTGTGGGAGTCTGGAGTTGTCGGGTTTGGGTGTGCTCGCTGGAACTTTCAATGCAGCGTTGGATGAGGAACGACACGTGGGCTGAAGGCCTCCGCCTCCGAGAAAGTTCTGTGGTGATCTGCAAAAACATTGATATTAATAATTATAATACTTCTATTACTACTATGACTACTACTTCTACTTCTACTGCTACTTCTACTACTGACAATAATACTAATTATAATGATAATAATAGTAATAATAGGTGCTTGTATGGCGCTTGTATGGCGCTAGTAATATTAGCCCGGCTTTAGCATGGCTGCAATTACACTCTTTTCAAACTTCGGTTTAATTTTCATGATCTTTACATCCCTTGTTTTAAGCTTACTGTACAAGATTTTAGAAATGGCTGAACGGTCTTATTTCGAAGAAGTGACAACTATATTCTCCTGTCATCAAGGTTGTTATCCAGAATTCCATCAAAAGGTATTACATTAATATTTGATTACTAGCCACATATGCATGTGCGTGATATCTGAGAGAAGTGTTATGAACCAGAGCACTATAAGGCCAAACAACAACAAAAAAACATATTTAGCGTCCTGTTTTTTTCGAAAAATAGGAAGGAGGAGGCCCTTTTTTTTTTTTCTTCATTTTTTTCAAAATTGCCGCTCAAAATGGCCGCTCGTTACATTTTCCCTGACATTCGGGTTATTTTTCAAGACGGCGGCCAACTTTTTTTTTTCTTCATAAATAGACCCATTTTAGGAGTGTTTAAAAAAAATTAAAAAATCAGGGGTAGAGGGTTGGGAGTAGGGTTGCAATTATGTTTTGGGCAAGGCTTAGGATAAGGGTTAGTTAAAGAGTTGGGCTTGGTATTAAATCAAATTAAGAATTCGGTTTGTGTAGAAAATTGAACCGAGCAGTTCGTCAGCTGGCTGCAAGAAGGCCGCTACTGCTGTTAAAATACGTAGCTCCTACGACATTTTTGCGGACAGCAGACGAGTTGAAGAAAGGGCAAGGGTTATGCACCCTGAAAACGCAATCAACATGACGCATTGTGTGCAACGGGCCTTGCAGTAATGTAGCGATGTATCTTTGTGCATTGGGTCCCTGTTTAGTTTTATATTATGACGAATCAATACATTACATACCTATCCGATTTTTCCTCTTGGTTTTCTGTTTTTATTCTTGTTGTTGTTGAGTTGGGCAGTGCGCCACGCGTACCACTTGTTGGTAGCTCCTGGTTTGAGTGGTAGCAACATCCGAGGATGCGGCAGAGATGGGGATGCTGATTGCCAGTGGAGTCGGTTACCAGCGACCAACCCTGGCTGGTCATCGACGACAGAGGGCTCACTCCAGCTCCGAGGCTTCTTACAAAGATTCTGAAGACGGGGAGAAGTCATGGAGGAAACAAATATTATCATATTTTCTGACAATGTCAGTAAACGAAGAACAAACTTGCACCTTTAGTCTAATGCGTTCCCAGAAACCCCTTCACTCTTTTTAGTTTGCAAAATTACATCGTGCATCAGCTGTATATATCTGGGTGAAACAAATTATTATGCATCTCTGAAACGGATGCAAAATTTAACAAAACTGTACTTCAAAGCATGGACCTATTGAAGATTTTAGTGGTAAAAGATTACTTTATTGGGGAGCAGTTTTTACGGCTGATGTTAAACCTCAAAAGGCGCATATTTGTTTACGTTACGTTTTCTCTCTATATATGTCTGTCCCATTTCCTTTCAATTCTTTCCTATTAGTTCTCGGTTGGCCCTTTTCAATTTGCCTAATTTTTTTATTGTTCTCTTTACCTCATTTTATGTTTTAGCTTTTTTTTCTTTCGCCTATCTAAGGTTTGTTTCTCTTTTTATTCGTTTTTTAAATATTTTTGATGTCTGTTGTTGTCGCTCTTTAATAATCCACGCATTACTATTACAACCATAACATACCATAAAACCATCACGGCAAAATAAGCTTTTTGATCCATTCAATTACACAAAAGGATGCAAGCAGGCCTGTGAAAATAAGTGGTTTAAGCTACGGGGAAGGGGTGGGGCCATATAATCTTCTTTTCATGAGTCATATCTATTGTCCTTTCTTCAACTTTCCTCAAATTTCAATAATTTTTTTTTACTTTTGGGGGGCCAGTGGAGGGGGGGGGGGGCATTTTCATTTTTTGTAAAAAGGGTAAAATTTACGTTACCATCTTTTTTTTGTTTAAACCTTTTTGTTTGGCTATGCAGAGGCAGGGCCCGTTGCCCCCCCCCCCCCCCTTTCCCTGAGTGAAGTGCCACTTCGGTGGCTATGCCTTAGCTTACCTGATATATAATGGTGTTATCAATGTTCCTCAGAGCATTCCTCAAGAACGTCACCTGGGAGTACAAATCTTTACAATTAGTGACGTCACCAGGTTCAATCTCCCCTCTCTCGGCAAACGCACGGAAGTGCAAGATGTCAAACGGTTTCCACTCGTCCACAGCTCGTTCATACAGGGGCTTGGGGTTCTTTGATACGTAAAGCGGTGGCATTCTTGGTGTTTCCAACTCCTGTGTTACAAGATTCAAGATTCAAGATTCAAGATTTTATTGTCCATATAAAATACAGACATTTGTTTTCCATTGGTGTAACATGTAATATGTAAAACATAAGACAACAACATGGTGTCGTGTGCTGAAAGCCAGAAGGGCATCAAGACTCTATAAAGAAAAAGTCTATGGGCAGGTACGGTCCTCCGGCCTTCAGCACAAAACACAACAAGACAGTTACCTGGTTACAATGACGTATACATAGCAAGAAATTTAAATACAATTCTAAATCACATCATGAATAAATTCAGGTATGAATATAAATGAGAATATGAAAGTAGAATAGGAGCAGCATCACAATCGAAATACGAGCAGAAAGAAAAAGAGAGCTCAAGCTCGAAGGACTGATAAAAGATAGAAATATAGGGAGAGTTGGAAAAAAGGGAAAGGGGAGAGATAGAGAAGGATAGATGGCATCATTTTCAATCAGATTACAGTGGGATAACAGAAATTCTTGACTGAACTGCAAATGATCATGGACGTACACCATAGTCGGGAAAATAAATTCCTCTTTTAACAAAAATGACACTACTGTTTTTCTTTAGAAATTGCTGATTTCAAGTTGCCTGTTAACCTTATAAAAACGGCCGGGCTTTTTGAGGTCTTACTACGGCCGGGGAGGGGGGCATTATGGCCATGAAGCGGCCGATCTCCGCGAAAATTTGCACGCATGTCAAGTGAAGTGTATAGAATCATATGATAATTTCTATTTTTTTGAGAAATTCACCTATTTGCATATTTATGGTAATTTTTGTAAATAAGGTCATAAAATCACATTTTTTACCCATAAATCCCATATTATTCATATCTAAGCATTCTTTTTCACTATACCCGTTGGCCTTATTAGGGGTAAGTGATTATACCCAGCTCCTGTATTAGATTTCTAGCCATTAAAAAGAAAAGTTAAATAGAGTAATATAAACCGAGAATCTACGAAAATCATGAACACTTTAGCACATTCCATTGCTTTTATATTAATTGCTTTAATCACCTTTCACCCTTCTTGTTCACCTCATTAAAGTATTTTTGGTCAAACATTGTTAACAGTGTTATGTATGAAGAAAAAAAGAAGGCGAAGAAAAAAAAATAGTTCGAGGGGCATAAAGGGTTGGGCTGAATTGCTTACAAGTTAGGCAATCAAATTCAAACAATGAAAGGGGTCCTCGAATGTTTATGTTTTCCAGAAGGAATTACAAAAATTGTTTTTTGGGCTTTACAATGTGCCAACACAGTCTCCACCATTTTTTTTTTTTTTTATCAACTAGCAAAACAAAAACACACCCAACAATAACAAAGTAGAGGGGAAGAAGTAAAAGGAAGAAGAATGTTCATCATCCCTTTCAAATTTGGTGAAAGAATAATTGTGGATGGGAGTGTCGCCCACCCCCCCCCCCCCATCTGCCCCTACGCCCCTGACCCCTTTTTTGCTTACATTTTGGAGAACAGTCTTGATCTTGATAGTCCCATGATCCTTCCACATCTTCTTGGCACTCTTGGCACTTCGTCCTGTGGCAATCTTCGGTAGGACCACCATCTCTCTGTCACTATACAAACTGGGCGTTGCAACACTGCCTGTGGTTCGTGTCGCATCCCCCGGAAACCGATTTCGCCTTAGCTCTGCAAAGTTCTACATAATTTGATGTTGGCTGTAAAAGGGACATAGTATCATAAAGTTCCCTTTATTCAGGTGATCATATCATCTTTATAAAATGTGATTTTTATATTTCATTTTTTTGTTATCTTGATAGAAAATTCGCGGCCTACCTTGGCGGCAAAATTGTCTGAAACCACCACCCATCGACAATTAGGCACTCACCTCGATAAACATCGAAGCCATGCTTGATACGAATTTGTAATACATAAGTAACATGCTACTGTTCATCATGGGGGACCCCCTCCTCATTTTGTTTGTACATAGATTTTCTCAAACAGTGCGTCCCAGAAAAAACGAAACCGAGAATTATCGATGTTTTATCATAACTTAATCACAGTTATAAAGCTGAGATATTCCTCTTTCATTTTATGCAACTCATATGATGCATATGTCATATATGACTGATTAAAAACAATTTGAAGAAAGGGTACCAAAAATCATTTAGGGGACGGTATCTGAAGTCAAAGAGAAAAATCACATTTCTAGAAAGTTCATTTTCTGACCTTTCATATGACACCTCAATCAGAACAAAAAAGCCAGGAATAACAAAGTTCTGTTTGCTTAAAGTAATGCTTGCAATTCCATAATGTTATTAAACGAATCCTTTCCACTGGCTGCCTGCCCTAACAACAAAGAAGACGAAATACTGGCAATTAGCTTTTATCATTTTTACTCACCACTTCGTTTCGTTGACGATCAGCCATGTACAAAGAAGACGAAAAACGTGATGCATGGCTTATCGTCAACGAAACAGAGTTAAGTCTTTTATCAACTCTGTTTGTTGCTACGGCAGGCAGCCAGTGAGAACGAATTCGTTTGCTTAATTTCATTAGCTTCCACAATATGAAAATCACTGTCTATATTTAATATACCTGAAAGCTGCTTCATGTTTAAAACCCGGTATGCATTATGTTGGATGGCTTTATTTGACTTAGGGCCTAAATATTGTCTAAATTGAAGGTATATCTACATCAGTTCTTTTGACAGTTGTATTATTACGTCTTATAGCAATGGGTATAGCGTTTGGTCCCATATTACTAACTTCAGATTCTTTTTTCTTGAACAGCGCACATTAATTCAAGGTGTATAAGTAAGGTAAGGTATTTATCAACATTATCGCAGCCAATGGCTGAATTGCATTCATGATTTACAGATATTTGATTATAAAATTAGAAAAGCATATCATATTTACAATTCGTTATGTAACAATAATTCGACGAAAAAACTCAGTAAAACTCAGAAAGGAAAGAAAGAAGTAATCGAAAAATATGGAGCAGGAAAATAAGGAGAAAGGGAAATTAATGTTGAGGGACAGGGAGTGGAGAGAGAGAAGGGGAGAAGAAAAGGGAGAGAGAGAGTGTTGTGTGTGTGTGTGTGTGTGTGTGTGTGTGTGTGCGCGTGTGCTCTCACCTCAGCATTCTTGTGGGGTTTTATGTGCGCTTCACATACCCCTTGTGAGGCATTTTTACTTTGTGGGGTATTCTTTCAGGACCCCAAAGAGTAAAGTCTTTCAAATGACTGTATATTCGGTGTCCTATGCCCTGCGGGGCATTAGAAGTGGTACCCCATAAATGACTTTTTGTGAGCGTGTGCTAAAACTTGCACACTTTTTTATGGTAACATCGTAAGCACACCGCCGGGTTGTTATCGCCAGGTTGTACATACCCCACTAGTAGGGGACCACAAGGTATATCTGGAACGCACAGAAATACCCCACAATCAGGTGCCCCACAAAGGCCCTGATGTGAGAATGCGTGTGTGTGTGTGTGTGTGGGTGTGTGTGTGTGTGTGTGAGAGAGAGAGAGAGAGAGAGAGAGAGAGAGAGAAGAGAGAGAGAAACGAACACAGAGCTGGTAGTGGTATAATGTAATACAAATTAAAAATGTTATTTCATCTAAGTAAGTGGGAATGCACTTCAAAGGAATTGAGTTATAAAAAAGTAATTTTGAGAAGAAAAAATACATTTCATAATAAAACATTTCATAATAAAACAGTATTACTTACCCGAACTCGTAGTTGACATGTATAAAGTGATTCCAAACATGTATATTATTACTAGGAGTATTCACATGTCGGTATCCATAGTGTCACAAAGCCGATAGACATATCCGTAATTCAATCCAAAACAGTTCATATATTTCTTGTTATGAATATAAATAGAGAAAACAATTATCCTTGGCTTGATCGTCACAGCAAATGTTATGAAAGCAAAGCTATCCAAAGGAAGATTAATTTATACGTGCCATATTACTCCAGAATGTATTCTAGCTATGGCATTGCTTTCTTCACGGACAGGGAGGGGGGACATCTTTATAGTAAAAACTCGCTCGACCGATAACAAGTGGAACCCTATCCTGAAAACATCAATTATACTGAATGAACGCCATTAAACTATTACAAACAACATCAATAAAAGGATAAGCTCATCAATGGGGATTAAGGCTCGGTCATAATACGTTGCTAGCCGAGCGTACGGGGGTGTGTATTTAAGGATGCAAGTGGTTCACTCGGGGGGGGGGGGGGGGGTATCACAGCGTCCATAGCAACCGGACGGTGCGTGCGAGTGTAAGAATCGGCGCATTGCGTATGTAGTGACTAAACTCGTTTTGACCTTTTCAAAACTTGATTTTTCCTACTCTAAGGAAAAAGTAGCCCCTTGATTATCTATCTATAAATTATTGCTCGTATAATGTTAAATGCATCATCATGGTTTCTAGACTTTGTTCTAGGACGCCTACCTCCGGGATATCCACCCCCCCCCGGATAACTACCCCCGGTCAACTAACCCTAGGACAACTACCCCCTAGGGCAACCGCCCTCTAGGACGCCTACCCCCGGGAGCGTTATTTTTTTATGCGGCACAGATTGGGGCTTTTTTTAAAAAGGGGTCTTGATGTACAGACTAATACTGGTCGTGTGCGTACTAGACAGTATAAGTAGTAGAGGTCTGTTTTTAATAGTGTTACATTTAATCCACTACCGCATGGAAAATCATTACATCAACAATTAAAATCAAATTGGCAAACTGAAGAGGAGGCAGCACGTCAATAAAGGAGAACATCACAATAATTAGTCAATAAAACTTACTAACTTAAACGAAGAGGAATGTTATCTAAACACATAGTTCGCGGTGGATATACAAACTTCTTCGCAGCGCTAATGCGCTAGCTAACATGACTAGTCTCACGTAAGTGCAGACACTATTCAGAAGGGAAAGAACGTAATTCCCATAGGTTTAACACGCGCCATGCCCCAATCTGTGCCGCATAAAAAAATAACGCCCCCCGGGACAACTACCTCCCGGACAAATACCTCCCAGAAATCTACCCCGTAGGACAACTACACCCCGGACAATTTTGGATTTGTTTTGAAACAAATGAGAAAGTTGACCATCACGTCAATCACAGAGACATTACAGATGCAGCCAATTTGAAGGGCCCATACCTATAGTGACTGCAAACAAAAATCATATCTTTCTAAATTTGTTGTCCAAATTTATTCAACCTTTCACTAGAATGCTAACCTTTTTGCTTTTTTCTATAAAAGTTTTCTATCAAGATTGGATTTTTCAGTAGTAGCCAGTAAAATAAATCGAGAATTTTAGCAAGTGATCGTTAATTTTAACATTCCATCTGTTTTAAACTGAAATTGCCACTTTAATTTACCAATTCTGATTATCACTATTTATTGTATGCCCTTTGGGGTGCGTGTGTAAGTGTCACTGTACATTTTGCTAATTATAAGTTTCACTTTAAATTTCCGACCCGACCTTTTGGGCATTACATTAAATAATTGTGCAAAATAGAGTGATGTTTGTATTCTCCCATGATCAAATTATTTTCAATGTATTTACAGTGACTTCTGGATATCCTTGTCGCGTAGATTCGACATAAGCCGTCTCTCGATTTCAAGGGGGGGGGGATACATGGCATGTTAACAATAACAGTTATGAAAAGTAGCGATAATATTTAAAAAATACACGCATTACTCAATATTCCAGATAGCCGACAACAAGCAAAGAATAGACTACTGTCGGGCTCAGCTCTGATTAAATACCACAATATTATTGCAGGTCTGTCACGGTAGTTTCCATTATATACCTTAAGTTAAAACACATTTTAAAACAATTTCTTTGGCTTCTCCAAAGTTTATCTGTAATCGTTTCTTTTATTCTTTGTCGTTTTGTCTGTTTTATGTCCATGCTCTTTTTTCAAAGCAACTCTATGTCAAAGTTGGCATTTCTCAACACATAAATGGGTGTTGTTTTAAAATATGATTTTATTTTTTACATAAATTAAACGATTTTATTTTCTCTGGATATTCAAAATATTTGACTGCTGTCAGCTTGATGACGTTGGGGCAGTGGCGTAAGGTGGGTTCACTCATTTAGGGGACACTGAATCAATTTGGAGGTTTGGGGTGGCGGGGGCACCGGTCTTAATGTGCAACTCAAAAATAAGCTTGATTACTGGTAATGATTGAAAAATAAATGTTCACAGAATTAAACAAATCGTTCACTCAATGTTCAAAATTACAAATAAATGACAGGTGCCAAACGATCTTGGTAGAAGGAAATCAAGGTAAGTAGGCCCGAAACCATGCGCTTAACACAGGTCACTTTGTGCAAATGAGAGTTGTAGTTTTTATTAAAGATGATTTCCAGCAAGTTTATTTTACTGGTTCAAAAAATCAATCTACTGCAGGATAAACAATCCAGAATAAATTAGCGCTATGTTCTCTCTCGACAAACGATTCCCATAATAGAGGGGGCTTTTTCATTGTAAAGGACCTATAACAATATGTATCCTAGATATTTTTAGTATGGCCTCAAAGGAGAAAGTATTTTTGGAGAAAAATAGATTTTAATGGTATTTTCTAACACGACAAATGGGAGGGTTGTCTATGCATGACTACGTCAAGGTCCACTAACAAAATTGCCAATTTGAGATTTGAATAGATTTGGAGATTTCATGTATTCTTAACTTTTCCGTTTTATTCCAAATTATCACAAATCTGCTTCTCTTATAAATAAACATTTTACAAAGGGTGCAGATTGGTATCCAAGTCGCATGCATCTATATTTGTGCTCTTATAGCCCAATCAGCATGAATGTAGTTTTAGAATAATAATAATAATAATAATAATAATAATAATAATAGGCATTTCTATAGCGCCGTCTATCTAGAAATTCTATTCCGAGGCGCATTTATTATTACCACGGCTTTAGGCTAGCTGCCATTACAGCGCTCCAGCATTTCAAGGAATTAATTCCTGCCAGGTATCCATTTACATCACCTGGGTTGAGTGTACGCACGAAACAAACCATTTGTATTATTGCACGAGTATACAGGTATAACTTCAACGGTGGTCTTGAAAACACAACACAACACAATAAGAACTTTAAAAATCTTTAGATGGCAAATGTATCATCATTTGTTTGTTTATTTGAACGCAAACATATGAAATATCAAACAAAATACAAATATAACGTCTCAAAAACCGCTAAACATAATCGGGGTTGCTATCCTGAGCATCATAAGTTCAATGTTGAGTGAGTATTCACATGTCAGTATTTAGTTCGAAAAGCAAACGAAGCCTAAACAAGAAGTAAGGTTTAATGAGACCGAAGTAGATGAGATAAAAATTCAGAGTTGGTTTTTCACTCGCTTTTGGTCTCAAGGACACTCTCGCTATTTGTAGGAGGGTTTGGCGTTACCGTTAATTTCCCCGGTCTCAAGGACACTTCAGAGATGAAAAGTTAATGTCAGCGATATTAATTTTTACGTTTTTCGTGATTTATCGACCCCCTAACCCTTCTGACTTGGTATAAGATCGTCTATTAACCGAATACTTCGATCCCATGAATCCTCAAAAGATGGCTCACTGCGTTTAGAGATCCAGAGCAATTTATACACAGAATTTGGCCAACATATCAGTTGGTCATAACATGACGGGTATTCTTTTGTGTTGTGCTTGCCAAACAAAGCAACATTCGCCATTACTGTGCCCAACTCGAACCGCGTTAGCCAAACTTTCTTAACCAATGGCTCGATACGATAGAGATGTCAGTCAATTTAAATGGTATCTGAACACATAGCTCGACGGAATCATCTGGAATGCATTGGAGATCCTCTTTTTGATAATCTGAGTGTCTCCTCTATCAAGTTCAACACTATGATTTATATCTTTGTTCAAGGATCAATACATTATTGGTCACCATCATCAGTAGGTTGGTCGGATTTTTCACCTGTCTCTATGTCTTGATTACCAGTCGAGTCTGGGCCATCCGAAGGTTGTGGTCCCTTGGCATCTTCATGAACTTCATCTGTCACTTCAGGTTGATCAGTAGCTCCTGGCGTTTCTCCATCACGTACAAGATCTTGATCATTGTTCTGATCGTCAGGAGTTCCGTCCCCTTGGATGATATCTTCTGTAGCAGGCTCGACGTTCTCGGAAACATCAGTGGGTGAGTCTGGCACAAGTATGTCCTCATCAATTGCGTCTGTCTCGGGATCAGTTTCCTGAGATACTACTGGATCACCTTCGTTCACCTCATTATCCTCGGCCGTCTCCTCCCCTGCAAACGTATTGTCATTCTCATCTTCGTTTGTAGGACTTTGATCGCTCTTGCTCTCATCATCAATGTGTTGTTCCTCTCCAGGAGAACTCTCAGTTTCCCCTTCCTGTGTTGCTAAATCGGTATCTTCCTGATGCGTACTTGTGGCTCCATCCTCTCCATCGACGGTCGCTTGCGGTTCTCCACTCCCCTTCAGCGCATCTGCCGATTGTTCATTCTTAACCACATTCTGTCCATCGGCCTCGTTGTTCTCCAGCTCTTGACCGACGTTGTCTTTGGGTGTTTCCTGAGACACATTCACATCAGTCTCTCTCTGTTCGGCTTGATTAACACTCTCCTCTTTCGATTCGGTAATGAATGTAAGTCCTTTAGGTTCTACTATCTTGATGTTCTCTTCATTCTCCACCTTATCTCCATCTGAGGGTATTCCTCCACGAGGCACTTGTCGGAGTCTGGAGTTGTCGGATTTGGGTGTGCTCTCTGGAACTTTTATCGCAGCCGGCGTGGGATGAGGTGCGACACGTGGACTGAAAGCGTCTAAGAAAGCTCCGTGATGATCTGCGAAAACCATAATAATTCATAATGATAATAGTTTTGCTATTACTGCTACTACTCCCACTTCTACAACTACTTTTAATAATGATAATGATAATAATAACAACAACATCAAAATGTACTACCAGACTATTACTGATGATATACATGTGTAAAAGTTAGGGTTAGTTACAGTTTTTGGTCCGAGGTTGAAACTCATTAGGAAATTCACGCCGATCAGTTTTCACAGGAGCACTCTGATAACACAATCAATATGACGCCGTGTGTCCATGCAACGGACTAAATAATAATGTGGAACTGTATGCTTGTCCAATGGGTTCCTTTTACGTAAATTATGTTGAATCCATACTTTACATACCGATCCGATTTTTCCGTTTGGACTTCTGTTTATCCTTGTTGTTTTTGTTGGGTGGGGCAGCCCGCCACGCATACCACTTGGTGGTAGGTCCTGGTTTGAGTGGTAGCAACATCCGAGGATGCGGGAGAGATGAGGATGCTGATTGCCAGTGGAGTCGGTTACCATCGATCAACCCTGGCTGATCATCGACGACAGAGGGCTCACTCCAGCTCCGAGGCTTTTTACAAAGATTCTGAAGTTGGGGATAAGTCATCGAGGAAACACAAATGATTATATTTATATTTATGGTGCATAGGTAAAATAAATCACCGTGCATCTCTAAAATAGATGCAAACATTGCGCAAAAGATGTACTTTAAGTTTTTAGGAGTAAAAGATTGCTTCATTTGGGGTGCGGTCTTGCGGCTGGCGTTATACCTCAAAGGCCGCACTTTTTGTCTGTGTGTATTATATTTTTTTATATATATATATATATATATATATATATATATATATATATAATATGAACCAAAAGATAGTCTGAGATATGTGTTACTTTCTCAGCGCAGGATTGCGTCCTATATATGGCTGCTTTGAGTTTGTAAACATGGTTCCTTTTTCTAACAGTATGCGATTCGAGTCATGTCAGTATAAATAATTATGATGAGTTTTGGTGCATGCCCTTGTCAAACTGTCGAAACAATCGCACAAGGCCATTATTACGTCATTACAGACTGACAAACAGATTCAGTCGATAGCAAGTTGTGATACATTGAACTACAGGTGAAAAAGAAATCAATACACAATCAACAAGTCATTTATTATTGTTTTTTCTCTCGCTGCGGTGTAATGGTAGTTGTGCATGTTTGGTTTTCTTAGCCTTTGTAGTACAGCATTTGACAATGGTTTCTATTTATAAATGTCATTTGCAATTTAAGACCTCTAACATGTTTCTCCTCGGTTTTCTCATGAGTTGAATACGGAATGTTCTTTAATATTTTTCGTATCCTTGATCCGAACTTTTTACGGGGCGACAACTATTCTAGGGTTTGTTTCGTTAAAAGGTTTATCTGGTTAAGGGTAAGATTTGAGTTGGGTTGGGTTGTTAATTTGGGGTTTAGGGTTGATCTTTGAGGTCAGGAATTTGGTTTACGTATAAGAAATTGAAACGGAGTAATTTTCGCAAGAAGAAAAGGCGTACATCTCTCTCTCTCTCTTTATCTCTGTGTCCTTCATCCCCTCTCTTTCTCTCTGTTCGTCATCCGCTCTCCCCGTCTCTCTCTCTCTCTCTGTCTCTCTCTCTCTCTCTGCCTCTCTCTCTGTCTCTCTCTCTCTCTCTGTTCTCTCTGTTCTCTCTCGCTCATACCCTATTTTCTCTGTATATATCTCTCTCCCATTATCATTGCAACCTATCAACAGAAAAGGGCAAAAAAAGATAACCATCACGGCAAAAAGAGCTTTGTGATCCATTCAATTACTAAAGAGTAAACAAAACATGTAAGCAGGATTTTGAAAATAAAATGATATAAGCGACAAGGAACGGTTGGAGGTCATATTATCTTCTCTTCATGAGGCCTTTCTCTTGTCCTTTCTTCCACTCTCCTCAAATTGTTTTAATCACTCGAAAAGGCGAGGGGGGTGTTGCTCTATCCATCCTTCTACCTAGTTATGCTGAAGAATAACACTTGTCCATGATTTGCGAACGATAATGAACAGTCATCAAGCAACTACTACGACCTTCTTCCCCTCCCCCTCCCCTTGATTGAAGTCCCCTTGATAACTTGTGCTTAGCTAACCTGATAACTAGTGTTTAGCTAACTTGATAACTTGTGCTTAGCTAACCTGATAACCAGTGTTTAGCTAACCTGATAACTTGTGCTTAGCTAACCTGATAACTAGTGCTTTATACCTAACTGATAACTAGTGTTTAGCTGACCTGATAACTAATGCTTAGCTAACCTGATAACTAGTGGTGCCATCGATGTTCCTCACAGCATTCCGCAAGAAGGTGATCTGGGAGTAGAACTCGTTGCAATTAGTGACGTCTTCAGGTTCGATCTCCCCACTCTCGGCAAACTCACGGAAGTGCAAGATGTCGAATGGTTTCCACTCGTCGACGGATCGTTTGTACAGGGGTTTGGGGTTCTTCGGCACGTAAAGCGGTGTGATTCTTGGTGTCTCCAATTCCTGTGTGAAATAAACAAAAATTCTTAAGTGAGCTGCAGATGATCATGGACGTACACCATAGTCGGGAAATCAATGACACTGCTAACAAAAATGACACTGTTTTTCTGTAGAAATAACTGATTTAAAGTTGCTTTATAAATGAATATACCCATGGGATACCTAGACTTCAAAAGATAAATAGAATAATGTTAACCGAGTATCCAGGAAGATCATGAACACTTTAGCACATTCGATTACTTTGACATTTGTTACTTTAATCACTTTTTTTTTTGCTTACATTTTGGAGTACAGTCTTGATCTTGATATTTTCGTAATCCTTCCACATTGTTTTGGCACTCTTGGCACTTCGCCCTGTGGCAATCTTCGGTAGGACCACCGTCTCTCGGTCCCCATACATACTGGGCGTTGCAACACTGCCTGTGGTTCGACTTCTCCGATGGGGCGAGGTGTGAGGAGGGGGTTCGTGTCGCAACCCCCGGAAGCCGATTTCGCCTTTGCTCAGGTACGATCTAGTCTGGGATTCCTGTCATGAAAATAAATAAATCATGACATCGTGTTCGTGGCAACATCACTTCAAAAAAGGTTTGGGGCTAATGTCGATTTAATACAAATTAAGCTACCATAATTATCATGACCTCGATTTTGTTTAATCAAATAGTCAATATACCATCAATACGATTTGATAAAAATGTATACACGTCTATAATACAAACAGGTTCAATTGCGAAATCTAAATTTGATGGGCCGAAACCAGACCGACAACAAATCGACAACAGACCGAACGAAAATATTACATTACAGCTATGGCCTAGAATTGGTCTTTTTGGAGGATCGGTCTGAAGCCGGTTTGGTGGTGAGACCTTTGATATCCCGTTCCTGCCTTTCCCTACCATCAATGTACAGAACGTCTCCATAATCGACAGCCCACTAGACCGACATTCAACGAGAACGACAGCCCATGAAACCTAGGAGGCCGGCAATGTCACTCTCTTGAAACCTCAACAAAATGTCAGAAGGCCATCGAGACCATAAAAGCACAAGAAATGTGAAACGGTCTCGTGGGATGCCAGTCTCATGGGCCGCCGCTTGCGTGCACCGTTATATAACTTTCTAGTAGGTCGCGAGACAGACGATTTATTGCCGGGCTTATCGGCTGTTGGTCTCGCGGACCCTTTCCGTCTCTATAAGTTCTGCCAATCATTTCAACTTACCACCCAAGGGAAGTTGTTATCATCTACTGGTCCTCTGGATGTTAGCGGCACACTCTTCATCTTGTTCGTCAGGGGTTTTCCTTCTCAAGCAATACAAACTTAAAGATCTATATCAAAAGACATAATATAAAAATAACATATTTTGTGTTCAATATCACCTTTATATTGCAAATGCAAAGGGGAAAACGGAATTAGTTCTGGTTGTAAAGAACAATGTACAGTCCAATGTAAAGTAAACAATGAAAGACATATTACATAACATACTAGATTAAAACAAGTTACTATCAGTATCCGAATTGAATATGACAAGGTGTATTGATGATAAACTCAGTGCAGAAACGTCGCTATGGCAGGGGGCTGGAGGGTGTGACACCCCCCCCCCCCCCCCAAAAAAAAAAAAAAAAAAATCCGCCCGTCCCATCCATTAAATGTTTATGTTACTATAAAATCTTTACAAAATATGATTTTTCTGTTTCATTTTTTTTTTTAATCTTGTTGGAAAATTTCCGGCTAACTTAGCGGCAAATTTGTCCGGCACCAATCTCGATATACCTCGAAACCATGCTTAATTCGAATTTGTAATACATAGACGATTAGCCTTCCGCCGTTCATCACTACACCGAATAGTGTCAAGGGGGACCCCCCCCCCCCCTTTTTTTTTTTTGTTGAAATACATACATTGATTTCTCCTACATCATTATGTCCGTTCATTGGATGAGGTTATTAGGAGATATTGAACCAATAATTAATCGTTCAAAATTGTACCGAAAACATCGACTCGCCTGCAATATATTATTTTGGTAAAACAATATATTTCCATTGATGTTATTTTGATGTTGTTATTGTAAGTGGCGGTGGTGCTGGCGGTGTACTATTTTTGATGGGCGGGCATATGAGAGCCAATTATCTGCACTTGTTTGTACTGGTAGAGGATCGAGTATTTTTGTTCAATTGAGGAGGGGAGAAGGACGGTGTTCAAAGAAAATTATCGGCAATGATAAAAGCTTCAATTTTATTATCTTGATATGAAAATACAAGTCAAGGTTATATTCTGAATAGTAATTAAATATCCAGATTGGCTATTGTACGCCTCCGCTGACTGGTTTTAACCATCATAATGAAGCCATATTAGTTACGGTCAACGCTATTGAAAGAAGATTAATTTGCCTGGTACGAAAGAAGTGATCAAAATCTGATCAATTATTACGAATGAGATACCTTTACGCGAACTCAATGTACCAATTGCACTGAAACCTGATGCAATTTGGGAAAGGCCGAGTATTTTCGTTTCACAACAGACTGAATAAATGAATTTGCGAAAAAATGCTAACCCCCCCCCCCCCCCCCCTTAGTAATTTCAAGTTAACCAAATAATTCGAATAGTGAATACATATACACAAATAAAGTTATTACGACTGCATTATAATTATGCTTGAAAAATTGAAGGAAAAAAGTATGAATTAAATTTCACAATACATTAATAAATGTGCTCTAAATATTATTTGTCTAGGTGTCATTCTGCCGTATTTTCTTGCTATAAGTTGTTTATGTTTATTTTTTATGATAGTTTTGTTGTTGGCTATGTTGATTTACCATTCCGTTTCCACTATTCATTTGGAAGTAGATTCGAATTATCCCGGCCATCTCTGCCTGTTTATCGATGACAACTAAAAAATATGGATTTTATTTCATTAAATTGGTTGGATTTTAATTTGATTTGAAATGTACATGTGTAACATTGAGTTACTCATTGTAATACATTAATTGTTAAACTTAATTTCGATAGCTTACACAAAATGAAAATCACTATATTTTAATAAATATTTCTTAAAGCTGCTTCATGTTTGGAACCCGATATATATATTTCGGATGGGTTTATTCGCCTTAGGGCAAAAAGATTTTCTAAATTGAGGGTATATCTACATCATTTGTATTACTACGTACAGTATAGCAATGGGTACAGCGTTCGGTCCCATATTACCAACGTCAAATTCTTTCTCTTGAACAGTGCACATTAATTCATAGCATGTACAACATAATATAACAGCATTACTCACCTAATCTGTTAAGTAACATGTATAAAGTGATTCCAAACATGTATATTATAACTAGTAGTATTCACATGTCGATATCCATGGTATCACAAAAACAATAGTCATATCCGTAATTCAATCCGAAACAGTTCATATATTTCTTGTTATGAAGTTAAATACGGGATACAATTATCCACGACTTGATCGTGACAGCAAATATTATGAAAGCAAGGCTCTCCAAAAGAAGATTATACGTTCATAAACTACTCCAGTATGTATTATAGCTACGGCAGTGCTTTCTTCATGGATAAGAAGACTGAAATCTCTATAGTAAATACTCGCATGGCTGGTAACAAGTGGAAGCCCTATCCTGAAAACAACAATAAAAGGATAAGCTCATCAATAGGGGTTAAGGGTCGGTCATAATACATTGCTACGTATGGGGCTGTGTATTCAGAGGGTGCAGGGGATTCGCTCAGGGGGGATCACAGCGTCCATAGCAACCGGACGGTGCGTGCGAGTGGAAGAATCGGCGCGTTACACACAACGATGACGGCGCGCGCTCTGCACAATATCGTCGTCTGCTAGCAAATATATTACTATTCGAGTTGTTATTCAATTCAATTCAATTCCATTTCGGTTTAATTGTTATTAACAAAACATGAAACATGTCCGGACATTATTATTGTCATATTTTTTATGGTAAAATACAAGAAAACATGAAATAATGCTATAAAATGACATTGACATGTAATCAGATAATATTTCAATAATAACCAAAAAAAAAGGAGAACACAAATTGCCATATCGAATTGAACTGGATAAACCTTGAATTATTACTTCAATACTTGTTTATTATAGCTAATATTAAGACACATACATCCAACGAGACTATGAGTGCAGTACATAAGTGTGTGCAGTAGACCTATAATCTCCTACTCTTCTCTTGGATTCTTCGTTGGATGTGCACCCTCCCCCCCCCCCCCCCCCCCTCCTCCTCCTTTTCTCCCCTCCCCTCCTCCCCCCCCCCTTCTCTATCTAATTCGTCCTGGCCAAAAAATACGTCGAGCTTAATCTGGAACTATCAATATAATAGTAGCATTCAGGTAAATCACACCGCAAACCATCTTGAATGCCCCCCCCCCCCACAAAAAAAAGAAGACTCGAGAAACCCAGAAACTAGGCTATCACTCAACTTACCACTGGAGCCGAATTTTCCCTCCATCCCTCTACTTCAATGTGAGTGGGGATGGGAAATGAGCAAGTTTTGCCAATACTAATTTAGGTTTTTTTCTTTTAATTTAACCGTAAACCGCAATGTGTTTATATGTTTCTCACCCCCCCCCCCTCCTCCCCCTTTCCCTCTATCTCTCTCTCTCTCTCTCTCTCTCTATCTATCTTTCTCTCTCTCTCTCTCTCTCTCTCTATCTCTCTCTCATTCCATTTCCCTCTCTCTCTCTCTCTCTCTCTCTCTCTTTCTCTGCATTTCTCTCTTTCTCTCCCTCTCTTTCTTTCTTTGTCTTCCTCCTTTTCTTTCTCTCTCGCTCCCCCTCCCCAAACGCTTCCGTATCATTCCGATGACAGAAAAAAAGAGAAATATAATGGTGATAGATCGTTATGATTCGGACCAATAATAAGAACCTTATGATCGTTTGAAATATGAGATCACAACATCTTTGCGAATTTCTAATCTCAAATTAGTAATTTTATTAGTTAATTGTTACGTAGTGATGTAAAACTTTCCCGTATGTGGTGTATAAAATTTTAAAAAATTATGTTTTTCTCACAAGTGCCTTCACATTTGGGGCACTAATTAAAAACTATCATGGAAAGTATATTATTACAAGAGAAAAGACCATCACAATTAATGCATTTTGAAGAAGAAAACAAAAATTAATCATTTTTTGTGTTGGAACAAATAAGAAAATTGTCCACCACTTCACCACATACATTACCGATTCAGCCAATTTGACGGGTCCATAGCCAAAGCAACTGATTGCAACTTTAACGAAATCATAACTTTCTAATTTTGTGGTCCGATTTTGTTCAAACTTTCACTAGAATGCTTCTCTAACCTTTTTTCTATATTAGTTTCTTATCAAGGTTGGATTTCTCTTTAAGTATATAGCAATGCGAGAATTCAGGAGAGAGCAGGTTACACAAAAATTGTGATTTTCAGCCAGTTTTACGTTAACTTTAACATTCCATCTGTTTTAAAATAAATTGAAATCGCCACTTTAATTCACCTAGACTTTGCCCTTTTTTTTTGGGGGGGGGGGGGGGTGCGTGAGTTTGTGCTACTACATGTGTACATGTTGCTAATTATAGGCTGCACTTTAAATTTTGCCTTTTTGGCATGTTGTATTTGAAAGGGAATAAATTCCATAATTTTGCACAATAGAGTGATGTTTGTATTCTCCCATGAATAAATTATTCTCATGGTATTTATTGTTATCCCTGGATGACCTAAATCCCGTTAATTCAACATTAGTCGACACTTTTGATTTCAAAAGGGGGAACAAAACATGGCATGTTAACAATAACGGAATAGGGCCCCATTGCATCGTTTAAATAGAAAATATTCAATAAATACTCGCGTTCCTTAACATTCTGAATGGCCGACATCAAGCAAGGCATACCGTCGGGCTCAGCTCTGACTAGATACCAAAATAACATTGCAGTATGTTTATGTCACAGTAGTTTTTACTATATACCTTAAGCCCCACTGCACTACTTATAGCTACTTTCGCCCTCTATATAGCAAACAATGCATAATTGGTGACCATTGGTCCCCCATTATCCTCTTTTTCTTATGTTAATTGTCAGTTGATTTGATGAGATAACCACCTGCTAGTGACCGTACAGGGAGGTCTAATCCCTCCTGGCCAAACTAGTGCGGCGGGGCTTAAGTAAAAACACATTTAAAAATAATTTCTTTGGCTTCCCCGAGATGCAAACTGCAATCTAACCACTGGAGACGCCGGTAGATCATACAGAAAACAAACAAACATGCATTAAACATCAGTTCTGTCCTTTTTATCACAACGTCTGCTGTAATTATTCGTTTTCGGAAGTGGAATATCCACCAATTTATAGTCTTTGGGGCAAGTACCTCCGTGTATATACGCCATTGCATACGCCCTCATCCGACGACGATGAGCGAGTGATGTTTAATCCAGGGATGAATAAATAGCTTCAGACATGTCAGTTGACTAATTTCGTGCAGAGGGCTGAGGACTCCTGCTGCAGAAGCGTCTTTTTTCGGTTTGAAATTTTCTCGAGCGTGGACGAAATATCAGGGTGGAGAGTGACAAGTGTACATTAATATCTTGCCAAAGGAATAGACCAGTTCACGGTTAGCACATCTCTGCAATGACCCCGAATATCCACAGATCTTCGAAACATGAAGAGGTCCCACTTTGTACATTTTGAAATAATCACTCCTACAGCGATGCAGGTGCTACATAAATAGCCTTTGTTTCCCCTTTTCAAAGAATATTTGCACCTGTAATTCTGCCTGTGTATCATGGAATGCACTGCTTGTTCATTAATGAATAATGATTACATAACTTTCATGAGCACGTATCCAGTATTTCGTCTCAGTGTATTATACAATTTGTTCTGCAATGACCTTTATCTGCTCATGCTCAGACTGCAACCGTGAACTGGCTTATTTAGTGCCTCAGCGGGACTCGAACCGCGAACCATGTGATTCACAGTCCAGGGATTGTTCTCTGTTTACTTCTATCTCTCTCTCTCTCTCTCTCTCTCTCTCTCTCTCTCTCTCTCTCTCTCTCTCTCTTATTCTCTCTCCCCCTCTCTCTCTCTCTCTCTCTCTCCTCTCTTATTCTCTCTTCCCCCCCCTCTCTCTCTCTCTCTCTCTCTCTCTCTCTCCTCTCTTATTCTCTCTCCCCCTCTCTCTCTCTCTCTCTCTCTCTCTCTCGCGTGCGTTCGTTCTCTCTTTCTTATCATTCGATGGAAAGGGGGAGCTTGTGCCCCACGCTTACCCCACTGGTAACAAAATCATAACCTAAGCCCTGTACCCCCCCCCCCCCCCATCTCACCGGGAATAGGATTGACTGTGCATTTTTGTTTAATTGAAAATCGTAAAATATTACAAAGTAAAGACTTTTAGACTTCCTACCTCGAACCAATCATTCCCTTATTACAATTCATGCACTGATGGCTCAGTGGTCACATGACCGGGAGGTCCAAGGTTCAAAACCAAGTTCATACCGGACTCCCTTAAGTAAGAACCGGTTAGCCTTTTATGGGCCTGCATGCTGTTGCTTTTAGATAAAATAAAATAATTTTTATAGCGAACATATCCACCACACATGATGCTCAGGGCGCTTAAGTACTTCACTGGCTCTAGCTAGGCTACCGATTTCGGTGCTTACAGCATTCTAGGAATTACTTCCTAACGGAACTCATTTAACACCTGGGTGGAGAGAGGAAAATGTATATCAATGTCCTGCCAAAGGACACTAATGCCACACTGGGGCTCAAACACAAGACCCTCTCATTTTTCCAATCAAGTGCTTAAAACATTCGACTATATGACACCTCTATAAAACCAGTAGACTAACACGGTAGCTGACGAGACTGGTACGAAGTAATACATGTTTTTCCTTCAAAATATATGGGTCACAGTATCAAACCTTTTCCTTTGTCAGTAATGTGCTGTTGGCTCTCATTCGATAAAATATTACAATAATTCAATGATGCCAATTTGCTAACGGCACATTTCCTACCCCCACCAACAAAAATAATAATACAATAAAAAATGTGAAGTAATAAAAAGTGTCGAAAATAGGAGCGCCGAGGCTCTTCGACTAATGAATAATTTCTGTTGAAATTCGTCGAGGCGTGAATCATTTTTTGGCAATGGGCAGACACGATTGCTATCTCAGCTTCCGATCAAACGATTCTACATAAAATGAAATACTACAGGCATTTAAGGATTCAATAGCAAGTGAACAACGTCGATTTTTGTCATCTCTCCACTGAAGGGAGAGAAAAAACCAACACCTGAAGGCGTGATATCAATATATTATTCTCGCGTCACTTAAACTGCTCTTGGCGTTATACGGAGTAAGTGTTACTATTTCCTACAATCACTTTTATCGTGTTAATCTGCGTATTTATGAGATCATTTCTAGTTCAAATGGATTCTTACCCGCGGTATAATTTTTAGGGAATCGCAAAGAATATTTATTAAAGTGTTGTGATAGATTTAATACATGCCATTGGGTAATATCCATGCCTACCGCTTTAAAGCAAGTATTAATGTTATTTCGCCCTATCTGGCAATGTAAGTGCTTATTATTGTTTATCTTTTTTGAATGTTATTCGAGCTTTTTC